ACTCGGAGATCTCTAACAACTGAGGTTGAGCAGTCTAGGTGGCATAAACCCTATCAAATCCAGCGTTTGACCTATCTCAACCAGGTCAGGTATAGAACAGTGTTAGGAACTCTGAAGAGAACCAGGTATAGACAACAATAGGCGATTGCTCAGGTGTGCCACTTAGACTCGGAGGTCTAGTACTACTGTTAGGAGAGAAGGGTTTGGGTATGAGCCTACCACGGCCTTGGCTAGCATCACCAATCCACATATGGAGTTAGCCCACCCACTGTCCTCCAAGTACCACGCACCCTCCAGTACCTAGTCAAAGACTACATCTCTAACTAGATACCTTACTAAAATTGGTCATTCAATCATGACATGGATCGACTACTTCCATGCCGCCCACACAGTACTAAGGGATCCATCTTTAAAACAACTTTCAACTTATCACCTTAGTACTATGTATCTCAACATAGGACATATATTTTCACCATATGTCCCCAACTTTTCAACTTTACCTCTTTACAACTATAGGCATCATAACAACTTTACAACAATAAACATCTAGTCGCTTGTAATCGGTATAGCTCGGGCTGGCCCCTATACCGTGGTCGCTTTATACACGTGTGCCTCGACCTTTCCCACACACGGGATCAACTAAGTCCTAGAAGAGAACAACACAATGTCCACTCCAAGGGACAACTTCCTAAGGGGGGTTTTCAACAAATTGGGCTCTCAGAGCACCACAACTATCTCAATCCGCACAATGGGATGAGCAACTTCGAAAATATCTCCTCTAGTCCTAGTGATCAACAACTTATCATCATGGCTTAATCAGCTTACAACTCGACAACACAACTCAACTTAAAAACTTAAACAACGTACAACTTTTCAACTCATCATCTTAATCAACTTTCAACTTAAACAACATGGTATATCAGCACAACAACTCATCAACGTTGTTTAACAACACATTTTAACAACACAACATCTCATTTCAACTTTAAACATCACAATCAACTCAATCATCATAAAATAATATCTTTTCAACACATGACACAACATACAACTTTATAGAAACATACAACTCTTCTCTAACAACTTAACAACATAGTCTACTAATAACATCTATATAAATGACACATAACATATAGCAACTTTATCAACTTAATTTCAACATGCTTCAACAATATCATAGATCAACACACAACTCGTAAACAACTTCATTATACTCAACATGCATCTCTTCATTTCACTTTCTACTCATCATACATCCAAACAACATACAATCTAGCTTCCCTTACGTGAAGATTGGCTCAAAATAGCCTATAACTGAGAAGAAGTAGAATTCTCTTTCGAAGCTCAACCCGGAACTTCAATCCTCCCAAAGCAAGCTTCCTAGTCCAGAGTCCTTCTCTCTAAAAACTTCACTTTCTCCTCAACCACACAATCCCTATTTATAGAAATCTGAAGTGGCCAGAACGACCCATTTCAAAACTGGAACGGCCCGTTCTGGGCTCCTTCATCATGTGTAAAATGCACATGTAGAACGGCCCGTTCTGAAATCGGAACTACCCGTTCTGGCATGTCTATAACGACTCGTTCTAAAATTGGAATGACCCATTCTGGAGTTAAATTTAACTCACAATGACCACTTTGGAATGACCCGTTCCAACCCAAGATTCACAAACCTATTTAATAGTTTGGAACGGCCCGTTCCAGTTTGGGAATGACCCGTTCTGGGCTACTATATCACCCTTGTTTTAGTAGTTTAGAACGACTCGTTCCAATCTACTAACTACGTTACATGTTAGATTGGGTTTTAAAAAAAATTACACAAACTCGACTCAATCTAATTCGTTAAATTTTGATTGGATCGGATAATAGGTTCATCCAAATCCAACCCAACCCAATCGCTTACACCCGTAATAGGTATGAAAAAGAGCAAACTTGCCTGCTTCCAAATTAAATACTAGCTTTGCTTTATATTTTTTTTATTAACGTTGTTTGTAATAAAAAAAATTCTATATACTTTTCTTCTTATATACAAAACTTAAATACAAATCATATATTTAGTATTATATTAGTTAAAATAAATTTTATCTCAATAATTTATTCTAATATTTAATACGTTTTTATTACATAATTCTTAAAATAAAATGATAGTTTAATTAAAAGTATTAAAAAACACATTAAAAATTGTATTTAATTTTGTCCGCTTCTCAAGACCGAAAACAATCATTTAACAATTTACGATTAATAATATTTCAAAACTTTGAAATGTTTTTAATTCAACACCCAAGCGTGTAGTTCAGCTGTAGGAGTTGATTCACGTTTAAGCAAGTCAGGAGTTCGAATCTTGCCTTGTGTATGCAACCGCATTGAATTTTGGGGCCAGCTATCCCACCCTTTAAGGTGCTTAAAAAAAAAAAAAACTTAATACTTATTCCACTAAAAATTAAACTAACTCCTCTATCGTCGTAATAGATAACTACAAAATAGTCTATAAGGTTTCAGTTCGAATGAGAAATAGTTGCTGGCATGAAAAATGAATCACATATATAACAACTCATGTTTACGACGTGGGTCATTATTGATGCCATAAAATATGGACAAATAGAAAAAGAAATTAAGTTAATAAATAAATATCAGTGATAAAAAGCTGTGTAAATCATGTAAAACAATAAAAACAAAAATGTATAAATTAAAGTCGGCTTAAAATTCTAAATTTCATATACTGTTTTATTTTTCTCTGGTAAAGACCATATACAATATTATTGGCTGATAAAGTCTAGCACGTTGAAGCACGTTGTGGGGTCATTACAAATTAATGGAATTCTTGAATTGAGAGTACAAAATAAGAAAAATAAAAGACAACTTTATCGGTTTCTCCTCTTTCACATATAATTGGAAAATTATTTAATATTTACACATAGAAAGAAAACAGAAAAAATTGACTCAATAACTCAATTGTAACTAGTACTAGTATTATTATTATTATTATTATTATTATTATTCATTGGCAAGTCACTTCATTACACACTATTGCAAATGGTCCCTAATGAAAATTCAAATAATTGGTGATGATCTTGAAGCGTTAGAAGGTTGTTAGCCATCAAAATATTCATTCTATTTATTATGTTAGGTCGATGCTAACTGAATTTGTCACCGGTTACTTCCATTTCATAAATAGACTTTGGCTATACAAAGTGACCTATATCTAACCAAAATATCAATATTAATTCATCATTATCCACAAATTAAGTTAAAATTGTTATTTTTTCTTAACCAAGCTTCAAACTAAACTTTGTCAAACCATGGTAATCTATCTATACCTTCCCACGTGGTGGGATCGATCATCACCTAAATTTCCTTCAATTTATTTTGAAAAATATGGGATTTTTTTTTCAGTTTGTATTAGAATATATATTCAGCTGTTATGTTATGATATTTTGTATATTCTAGGTAATAATGAATAAAGTTATACTTAATTTTTTAATATTCTTACTACTAAACGATTATCTTATTAGTTATGAAAATATAAACTTTAGTTTTCCAAACTTATATACAATGAAATAGTCTTCCAAAGTTCCAATTAACATAAAAATATATTTTTGTAATATAAATCTTAAAAAAAATATTTTAATGCAATATTTAAAATTTCAAGGAATATTAATTTATATTTTTATATTTATAATAAATAATTTATATTATGATATAAGATGATTTTTAACTATTTGATAATTTTCTTAAAGCAAGAAAATTTAATTTAATAATAAAGATGAAAATAAATAGAAAGGAATATATAAAATGTTAGAGAAAAAAATAACTTAAATCCCTCCCACATTATAGGAAATTTGTAACACTCGTTCAATATAATTATTCTAATTGATGTATAAGATTACAGAATTTTGTAAATTTGAAATCTTAATTAATGAATCTCACTAATAATTTTTTTTTTTTGATCAATTTTAATTAATAATAAAAAAAGGCAACAAAATTACATAATTTTTTTCGCTTGTTAGGTTCATTTTTTCCCATTTTTTTTTTCTTTAATAAGTGATAGATAAGTTTCTCTTCAAATATTTACTGATGTTGATGATCTCTCCTGACCTAGCAAAAAGGTATACCTTTGCATAATATAATTTTTTTTGTAAAACAACAAATTAAAAGAATTAATAAAAAAAAATGTTAAAAAGACATGACACTAAAAGTCCTCAATTCCCTAACGGTATGAGTTTACTTACCTTGATGGAATGAGTTCCACAAGTTATTTTTATTTTATTTTGAAGAGTTCCACAAGTTATTACTTATTAGAGGTTAATGATATCTAAGGGTCAAATTAGTAATTTCAAAACAGATCAATTTGCGAAAACGGCCACTAAAATCCAAAACTCCCAAACGCAAAAGCTGACCTACAAAAATGGGCCACAACTTATTATCTCCATCGTCTCATCTGCGATCCGTTCCCACTACAACTGTTAAATTTTCCAAAATATTTATTACTTCAATAAATAATAAATTTAAAAATAGAATCTTTTCTATTTCTATTATTTTCACCTATCATTATTTTCCATTAATGGACTATTTTATATTTTTATTTCATATTTTATTGTGTTCTCATTTCTTTTCCCGGCACTTACGTGTGACACACCGATACGAGAACCAAATCAAAGACTCTTCTTTGTCCCTTTTTTCCCCACCCAACAATCACAAAAAATAAAAAAGTAAGTGAAGATTCCATACCCTAATAATAATTAAAGAGTTTATTAACATTATATTAATAAACAAGATGAAATAATAAAGTGGTCATCTATTATAACCTTAACATCTGTTTAAAAATATTTTATGGGTGTATATAAATTAAACTTATAATGTTTTTTTTTTTTTTTTTAAATTACAGCTTGCGGAATGAATGTTGCTTGAGCTTAATTAAAGTCTCTTTTCTTTCTCCTTTTTCATTTTTCTACAATGAAATAGTACATAGAAATTAAATTCCACCCAACAAAAAAACCAAATATAATAACCTCAAGCACCCCATAAAAACCCTTATATAGTAGTATTCACCTTGTTTTCTACTAGTCACATTTTTTCCTCTTGCTGTAATATTGCTTGGGCACACCATATCTCCATACTCCATAGCTATATGCAGCTAGGAGACACAAGTGTGTTGGAGATCTCCTCCCATAACCAGGCCGAGATGGCGGTGGCGGCCGCGGCAACAGTGCCAGAAGGCGACAACGACAACGACAACGACAATAACAATAACAACAACGATGGCGACATGGTTGGGATGGAGGTTGATGGAAGTTCCGGCGAAGGAAATAATGAAGGTAATAGGATGAGCTTTGGAGGGAACCGGTGGCCCCGCCAAGAAACTTTGGCTCTCTTGAAGATAAGGTCGGATATGGATTCAGTGTTTCGAGATTCAAGTCTTAAAGGTCCACTTTGGGAAGAAGTTTCAAGGTATATATATATACCAATATGTAAATAAATATAATTTATATACATATATAATTCAATTTCAATACACATCTTCTATCTAACCTCTATATTCATCTCTTTTCATTTTTTTGCTTTTTGGGGTCACTTCATTCTTTAAACTTCTTTTGCGGGTTTGAAGAAGCTACCATATAAAAACTTTATATAAGCTCCATAGATCATGCATGGAGATCCATGAATTGGTTTTCAATTTCCAGTTTGTTCAATTAAGAATCATTTCCCTTTTTTCATCTTTGTATATACTAGAGCCGTTATCCAGTTTTTTTTTTTTTTTTTTTTTTTTTTTTTTTTTTTTTTTT